AGAAGGCTAGAATGTGCCTGATGGAGAAAATGCACGTGTTATGTAAGCATTGTTCAGGCATGAGCCATATATTAATGAATCAACAATATGTATCAGATAAGGTGTTTTTAAACAGACACACACATAAAATGAGGTTCTGTATTGATTGGGTGGCAAAAATGTTGAGACCAGAGGCTCATAGGAACCTTATTCTGCATCTCACCTAGGACTTCCAGTGTTTGCTAATTCAATGTTTGTGGTGACTTATACAATTACCACAAATAATGAAAATCAACTGTATTCAAATTCAAATACTAATTTTAGAAGTATTCCTTACAATTTAGGGAAAACAGGTTTGCTTCAAAAACTAAGCTAGGCAGGGCAAGGGATGCAGGCTCATAGGCTGGCTGCTGGTCATGTTCACCAAGGCCCACAAGGAGTCAGGAGGCAGGACAAGCACCATGGGCCTGGGATGGCTAACCCCAGGGCAGGGCTGCACAGCACCCTACTCAGAGAACACTCAGCAATGCCCTGCATGATAGTGGCCTGATATGAGATACCAGAAGCAAGGACCTCATAAGGTTACCAGGTGTGCACAGAGGTCACCTGGAGGGAGGTTCTGGGTAAGATGAGGACAGCATTAGAAATCTGCATAGTTTAGAGAAAAGCCAAAGGAAAGAGGGGTTTTCAGCATCCTCAAAAGATGTCAAACCAGGGCACATGCTTAAGCTCAGCAGGAAGTTGTACTGATCTGGGTTGGAACCATCAAGTGGCTTCAGCAACTGGCCTCTGAGAGCTCCTGGCCTGTCAACCACTTGCCTGCTTAACTTTCTTCACCTGGGCCACCTAGGGCTAGCCCCAAAGGTGCTGGTACCTGGCCAAGGCTGGAGGAGCCTCCAGGGAGCCAGGGCCAAGGCACTTTCTATCCTCAGAGGCAGTGTGTCCAGCCAGCAGGCACATGGAAGTAAGGGAGAAAAGGTCTTCTGTGGGGCATGCAGGTTACTCTGCTGTATTCAATGCTGCCTACCTGGAGGGGCAAGGTGGACTCTGGAGACAAGCAGCCTGGGGTGGAGGCCTGGCCCTGTACCACCCCAATCCAGGGCCAGTTTCTTAACTCCTTTGTGTCTCAGTATCTTCATCTATGAAATAGAGATAAAGATAGCACCCAAACCTTACCCCTGTGTTGGGGACATTTATGTAAAATGCTCAGAACAACATCGCGTTCATAGGGTTTTTATAATCATTATCCATTATCTATCATCCATGGCCATATATTGTCATAGAGGGAGTTGTTTTTTACAATGACCATCACATGCAATCTGGTTTAATGAGACAGCAGAAAAGTAAGCAATATGTGATTAATCCACAGAGTTAATTCTCAAACATCTATAAATAGATTATCTGCTTTACAGATAATCTTTGATATTCAAAGCAACACATTGGCTTTAGGGACTGAGGTACCGTGTGTGTATATGTGTGTGTGTGTCCTTTAAATGAAAGATAGAACAAACTAAACTGTTAACTCTGTCCAGATGATAACTTTACAAATTGATAAAAAACTTAAAGACATGCAGGTAAGTTCTTAATGCTTTATGTTAGTTTAAAAGATTCTTCTGTTGTCTCTCCAGTATGGAATCCGGATTCAGGGATGCCATCAACTGTCCTACAGGAGCCTGGACTTCTAAAGATAAGTTCTGGCTGGAAAATTCCAAAGGGTCAACTAAGGTATTTAATCACTATGTCTCTTTTTCCCTCATACTAAGCTTTTTTTTTTTTTCCCCACTTGGAAAATAGCTATGAAGTACTATATTTATCCTTCTCTATTTAATACACTTAGATTTTTAAATATTTTGGAAAGGCAGATGTCACTGATGATCCTACTTACCTTCTCTTAATTGAAGAGAAGTCCTAAACAGATGAAACCCATTTGTGCTTATGAATAGGTAAGAATGCCTTTGCTCTACAAGTGTTAAAATATTATAGTGGAGGCCTGGTACAAGTTGCATTTTTATCAGTGCCATCTTTGAGGACTCTAGCAAGTCATTTACTTTTACAAAAAGTACCTATTATTCAGTTCAAGCTACTTCCCCTAGTCCTTGCATTCACTGAGGGCTGCTTATGACAGGCCTTATGCCCTGTGGGCTTCTGGAGAGGTAGCTCGGAGGGTGGGGTGGATGCCAGGAGGTAAAGCGGCTACTCAGTAAGATCTGGTGGTACCCACTCCCACCCCTGGAGTCCCCCTTCTCCTGGTGGGCTCCCTGCCCTCTCTACACTCTTAGAGACTTTCTTTCTGTCAGGTGGATCCACTCTCACACCTCACAGTTCCCAGATGAGAAATGCCAAGGTATCATTTGGGATCCCTGTTTGGCTAGTCCTTTTTTATACCACATACAGCCTTTTTTCAAATCACAGAGCATCAGTAACAGTGTCCTCCTATGGGGGTTGCAACTGGAGTGGCTGCCCTCACACCTGGGGTCCTTCGCACTGCAGCCCTGGCTGTGCTGTGCTGGTAGCCCTTCTGGTCTTTTTGGCCTGAGTATGACCCAAGGGCAGGCAGGGGCGGTGAGGGGACAGGGGTGTATAGGGGGCAGAACCTCAGTTGGGATACCATGGATGATTGAGCACAGATGCCATGTGGTCATGTCAGGGCACAGAGGACAGAATGCTAGTTTCTGAGCAGGGGCTGGATGCAAATGATGGGTCTGCAGAATGGGTGGCCCATTTGATAACTCCTGTAATTGCCATGAGGACCGGACTTTCTGAACCATAACCATATCCCAAAAGAGGAATAGATACCAGCTCAGGGCTGGGGGGACACAAAGAGGTATCAGGGCTCTTCATTCCTGCCTAGCACATGACCAGAAGGGTGGATACATCAATACCTCAGCCCTCTCATTCAGGACTCCATGTGATATTACTGTAGACATGGTAGGCCTGGCCAACGGGCCTTCCAGGACTCCTGTAGTTTATATCTAATGAACATACTTCTCTGACCTCAGTCACACTGGGGCAGCATTTCCCTTCTGCTCAAGAAGAAAGGCAGGTAAACATATTCCATGCAGAGAAAGAGGCAGGGGTTCTCCCTCTCCCTCCCTCTCTCACACTCTCTCCCTTCAGTGTGGGAAACAGCTGAGCTAGGCTGGGGACACTCACAAAGTCCTAGGACCCCACCAGGAGAGAAAGAAACCAGAATTAGTCCAGATAGTGGACAGCTGGACCTAGAAATGTACATGAGGATATGGAAAGGGAGCAGCTAGAAGAAGAGAGAAAACAGACTTCCTTTTCATTTTTAAGCCAAGTGGTCCAAGCTTACATGAACCCTGGTGAAAGCAGCTGCCCACAACTCAGGGGGCACATAGTGGCCCTGGTTCATATGACCTCTGACAGGCAGGCAGGACTGCCAGGAGGTGAAACTCAGGTGGAAAGGAGGCATGAAGCTCCACTCCCTAACGCCACTTTCTCTGGAGATTCTTAACATTCTTGGGGACAATGGAGTTGAGGACTTAAGCAAGTGGTTTGAGACAGTAAGTTGGCTGAATATTCCAGAAAGAATCTGAAACTGCTAAAGGTAAAGATGATTTTTCTTTAGAAACAGAAGTCTGATTCTTTCTCTCTCTTAGAATTTGTGGAGTCCTTACTTTCCTCAAAGGATAGAAACAATGTCATACTGTATGTTACAGTGGGTTCCTGCAATCTGTATTGTCTAGACTTTATGTGTTTTCACTTCAAAAACAAAATAAAAATAAAAACAACCATTTGCCACCTAGGCACCACTCTACCATCTTAAAATGATTTCTGGCAGGAGAAAAATGTTTCATTCAGGAGCTACCCTGATGGGGACACAGCAGGAGGGAAGGGCTGTGGGCCTTGGCCAGGGCTCCGGGGCAGAAGGCAGCACCACTGGTCGGGTAGGGAACCAGATCCAGGAGCCAAGCCTCACCTGCCCTGGTGTTTATCTGGGTTGCAGTCATTTTCCAACAAAGCCAAAGAAGGCACAAGTTCTCCTTTATCTAAGACAATCTTCTACTTTCTTTCAAATTTTATAGTCTAATGCTCCTCAGAGAAATCGATGCCTTAAGAAGTTAAGATTGAGACTTGTCTGCTGGCCAAGTGACCTGTTGGGCTTTGGAGTCATCACCTAGCCGTCTGTACAATTAGCCACGGGATGGAAAGTTAATTTTTCAAAAAGATCCTTCTGTGGTTATTTATCCTGTTATTCAGCCCTCAAATACTTTCTAAATTCCTACCATATGCAAGGCATCCATGAGAAACACTTTGCTCAATGTTTTGTGGCAAAAGAGCATATAATAAGCATATAAGCACATTCAAGGAAGAGGCCATCTCTAAGACAGTGATCTGTATTTATTGATAAAGCAAAATATTACTTTTAATCACCACATTTCTTTTTCAAATACACTTTTCCCAAAGGGAACAAATAGTTAAAGGTATAGAAATGCACTCATTCTGTATCAGATATTATGGCCTAGGGAACACCATTCTCCCTCTTAAAAGGAAAGTTGCAATGGCAGAATTCAGGAGAATAATCTGATTTCTTCTCCTAAAGGGACAGGGTTCTTGCTTTCTAACTTACTTACGGCTATATTTTTATTTTATTGTTAATTTTTTGGAATCAGAGACTCATTCTGTTGCCCAGGCTAGAGTGCCATGGCATCAGTCTAGCTCACAGCAACCTCAAACTCCTGGGTTCAAGTGATCCTCCTGCCTCAGCCTCCCAAGCAGCTTGGGACTACAGGTGCCTGTCACTAATTTTTTTATTTTTAGTAGATGTGGGGTCTTGATCTTGCATAAGCTGATCTCGAACTCTTAAGGAAGCCATTCTTTTCTCTTGTACAACCCGCAAGAGAAAATGCAGACATGCATGGGCCTGCACTGCCCCCTCCCCCGCCCCCCATGTGCACACACACGAATGTGCATGCAAACACCTCTCAAAATACCTTATAGCAGAGTCATATCCAAACCAACATGTCTGTGAAGTGACTGGTGCCAGAGCAGAGCCTTACCTGGGTCTCTTGTCTGAGGCGGCCATGCACATGTGCTGCGACGGCACTGCTGTCCATTTCTTCGCCTCTATGACGAGAGCTTCTGCGTCCACCAAGCCAAATCCATAGAAATGGCTAACTGAAAAGACAGGCTCTTCAGAACTGGGCTCCCACCTCTCCCCGGGGAGGGCACAAGGCCAGTTCTTACATTCTGCTGGGCTCCCAAAGAGGACAGATGGACTGTTATTACTTCCTGGGATCCTGAGGCCCCAGGTGGCAGGATGGGTTCCTCTGAGCGGGGCTGCTCAGAAGTCCCAGCTGCTTGGTTCTTTCCCTGAACACAATTTCTGTTTAGTTTAGCAGTGCGGGCCAGGAAAGGTGACTCATTCTGGTACAGAGTAGGACAAGTATAGAAGGGGTCTAGGACTTTCTTTTTTTGAGACAAACACAGGTTTCTTTACATTAAAAGG